CGTGCCGGCGGTGCGGACTCCTGGGGCGGCGGAGGGACGCGGGGCGCAGTTTGCAGCTTTCGTGCCTTCTCTTCTTCACCTTGTAAATCGCCACGAGTTCACGGATGGCTATTTAGTGGCCCTACGATGCTGCAACACATCGGCTTGCGTTTTAGTCGTACTTCTTCTGTTCTTCGGCAATGGGCAGAGTTTGCTGTGTTTGTGTCGGCTGTGGTATAATGACATAGGGCTCTCTTGACGTTTTATTTATGACCTTATCCGTTAGAGTTCAGTGGCTAGTCGCAAGCATTATGAAGTGATCACCTAGGTTATTATCCTTTGTATGGTTTTTTTTTTAGAAACGCCAACAGCCTTACCAAAATTTCAGCAGATTTGAGATACAGTCATAGTTTAGGTAGATGTTAGTCTTGGAGAACTTATTTTGTGTGCAAATGAATATAAAAAGAACTTAAACAAAGTATTATTACACACATGATATCTATAACTAGGACTTTGATAACTGTTATATAAAGTGTGTAAAGTTTGTATTAATAAATTTTTGTAAACAATGCAATTTCGTCTAATGTTTGGGGGAGAGAAATCTAGAATCTAACAGTGAAAGCTGCATTTCATTTACCTTTTTTTTTTTTTTTAAATTAGTTCATTTTTAAGCAGCGTTGTTCTAACTTTTCATGCCTGGGATACCTTTTTCTTAAGTCTCCACATTTTATCATCAAATAACCTCTAACATTTTTGCCGATGGTTACTCCTCTGTTCGAGTAAACTAAACAGAACTGCTGAAGTAAAGAGCCTAGTTCCACACACCCCAGCTCAATAATACTCTCTAAAATGTGCAAACTAAACCAGTCGGTGACTATCGTCCATTCCTCTAACAATTCCTGTGCTTAGAAGCCGTTTATTTTAAGCGGAATCGGTGTGTTTGATGAGATCTTCACCTAATCCGCTTTTAATGAATATGCTGTATGTGATAATGTGCTTCCCGGCATCACCGGGCTTGGGCAACGGCAGTATCTTTCTTTGGATTAAAAATGTACTGGGCTGTCCTAAAATATGATACTGCAACACAACAAAGAGTTACTTGGGTTTTACAGGGTGATAGGTGGCTACAACGAAAAAGCACAGGCAGGGTAGTTTGTCGGCAAGAAGCGGAGGTCAGGCTATCCGACCTTTAATCTTCACTTTAGTTTAGCAATAGCTGCTTACGGTTATTATTTTTACTGTAGCTCAGGGATTTTACTCAAGCATGTTGGAAAGTAACAGCAATTTAGTTTAAACTAAACT